GTTCGGCGCGATTTCCATCTTCCTCAAATAGGCTCTCGTCGTTGCTGTCGTCTTCCGCTGCCGTTCGAGGTGAGCCTGGCGAGTGGCAGTACATGCTTGCGCTGGGTGATAGTGCGCGGACTGCGCTCTCGTCGGCTCGATCGATATCTGTACTAGTTCTACGAGTACGAGTTTGGTGCTCATCAGAGGCACTGGCAGTGTGTCCGTGCTGGTCTGCACTTTTGCTGGGCTGGCTGTGTTCAGTGACTTCCTGTGCGGGTGAGCTGGCAGAGGTCACAGGGGACGCTACCTGTGCGTACAGTAAGCTGACCTGGCCTGTGGAGGCTGTCGGATCTGGTGCTGGATCGTCGTTTTGGGTCTGTGTGTTGCTTGTTTCGGTGATTTCCTGTACGAGTGTGCTGGCAGGGGCCGGGGTCGCTGCCTGTGCGTACGGTAAGCTGGCCTGGCCTGGCAGGGCTGTCGCCAGTGTTGGATCTGGTGCTGGGTCTTCGTTTTGGTTCTGCCGCGTGTTGGTTGAAGTGCGGGTTCGTGTGTTTTGTAGCTTGTTCGATTTAGGGCAGGAGCCGGCAAGGTGATTTTCTGAGTTGCAGAGGCGGCAAGTTGGCGCCTGGCCCTCATGCTTCGCGCGGAAGGTATTGCCTTCGGCTGTCCGCACGAAAGATGGCACCTGCCTGCAGCCGTTGTTCAGGCGAACAGTTGCGAAGCGTACGCCTGTTCCGACAAATGCGCCCGACTTTGTGCGGGTACGGCCGTGGCGAATGGTGCCTTGCACCGTACCGTATTTTGTGAGTGCATGTATGATGGCGGCATCGGAGATCCAAATCGGGACGTCAAAGATGTGCACTTGCAAGGAAAGAGAATGGCGGACAGAAATATGTGTTTCGCCAAGAAAGAAACCGTGTTCTGCAATGGACTTAGTTGTAGATTGGCTGCAGAACGTTACCTTACAGGCTGATCCGGTAATTTGGACGGAGGCGACGTCAGCATAACCCTGGTCGATGAGGGTGTCCGCAATTTCTACTATCTTCTGGCCTGCGAGGCCGTCGACAAATATTACGGTATTGGCCTTCAATTCGGCCGGCGACATCGACCTCCACAGTGGCTCTGGGGGCTCAGGCTTTGGGCTGCCTGGCGCTGGGGAGTCATCCATGCTAGATAGGTAATACTAGTTAGAATAGCAGTGCATATAATGCTTCTAGGGTGGGGACGTGGTCACGACACTCAGAGCTTCAAAACTTGCTTCTTACTCCTGGCGAGCTGTTGTTGTTGTTGTTGTTGTTGTTGTTGTTGTTGTTGTTGTTGTTGTTGTTGTTGTTGTTGTTGTTGTTGTTGTTGTTGTTGTTGTTGTTGTTGTTGTTGTTGTTGTTGTTGTTGTTGTTGTTGTTGTTGTTGTTGTTGTTGTTGTTGTTGTTGTTGTTGTTGTTGTTGTTGTTGTTGTTGTTGTTGTTGTTGTTGTTGTTGTTGTTGTTGTTGTTGTTGTTGTTGTTGTTGTTGTTGTTGTTGTTGTTGTTGTTGTTGTTGTTGTTGTTGTTGTTGTTGTTGTTGTTGTTGTTGTTGTTGTTGTTGTTGTTGTTGTTGTTGTTGTTGTTGTTGTTGTTGTTGTTGTTGTTGTTGTTGTTGTTGTTGTTGTTGTTGTTGTTGTTGTTGTTGTTGTTGTTGTTGTTGTTGTTGTTGTTGTTGTTGTTATATTCGGCGCATATTTACAACGGCTATTTTCGGCTCGACACTTTGACTTTGAGGCCTAAATTTAGTTGGAGCTGAAATTTTATTTGCATATTACAGTGTGAGTGCATACCAGCATGAGCCGTACACCATGTACACGGGCGAAAAGGATTTTAGCCCATGGAGGCTGACATTTATACGCGCAGACCATATGTAAACTGTTGCAGTCGACTCGCTATGATGCTGCTCTTGTCTATCCCTATTTACGCACCACCACTGGCTCGGACAATCGACTCGCCATGATCAGCCATGACGATGCTCCTCTCAGTCACAACCCCTGTAATTGTTCATAGTCTCACAGTTTCTCCTGCACACTCGGTGATGTTAACCATTCCATTCTTTTCACTTTGCTGACTCGTACAGCTCCATCTTTTGTCCTTTTGGTGCGTGTTCTGGCCGTGATGCCTCAGGTCGGCAGAACCATCAATGCCCCACCATCACTGCTGCGTCTCGGTGCAGCCCCTTCTCAATAGTTGTCACGTTTGTCCTAGTCTCAGTACCATTGTCTTTCTTTATTCTTTTCGAGCTTGGTATGTGAACATAATAGTAAAAAAAAAAAAAACTTTCAATAATGTCTCATAATCGGAGATACCCCAATAGGCTACAGTCTTTGGGAAATCTTGAAGTAGAGGTTATTAGACTCGGGTAGAGAGCCCTGGATTATTTCTAGCAAAGAAACGGACCGAGGAACTACAAGTTACGCTACAATGTCCACTAACACCACCAGGTACTTGACAACCAGCTCATGCGATAACATTGCACGACACTCGTGTTCGCTGCTGCGTAGCCAATCTGCCCTTCCCATCCTATACCACCCATATTATACACTCGCCTTTCCCTGACCCCTGTAATTGAACGTGCCAAATGCACACTCCGTTTCCTTATGCACCGTGCCCACACCAGCAGCATCAACCCTCTTCTGAAAGATGGAGTAGCCCGAAGTTCCAACCTCCCAGTAACACCCGTGGTAATGACAAAATAACGAGAGAGCTTGGAAGCTCAGGGCCCTGCGCTATGCTTTGTTGCCTAGCTCATCGTGCATGTTGTTAGAACTGATGGAAATGCTTTTTACTTTGATTAGCTACATCATTGTATTGCAAAAACGTTTCAATGAGATACTCAAGTAACGTCTTCTGCATAGCTATGGGACCGGCGCTGACTCTGCCGATCACGGGCGTTCTGGAGTCGACGGGATGTCTGTCCTGACGTTTCCTGGGACCGGCGCTGACTCTGCCGATCACGGGCGTTCTTCTTCTTCTTCTTCTTATTATTATTATACTGACGGCAACTAGCATCCATTCTGATTGCATTTACTCGTCTCCCTACTTCGTATTTCTTTCCAGAAAATCTCCCCATACAGCAGGGAGTCGTTTACATAATAATGACTCCCTGCTATACATCTACATGACTGTATTATTATTATGCTATCGGCCTACATGCGATTCCCGGGCTGGTCGACAGGCGGCCCAGCCAGCCTGCTAGTGGGATCTCGGCCTCGCACACAAATCCACACAAAATGTTACTGCACTGAATGCATTCCCCCGATACACTTCGCATATATACTCATTCTCTTGATGGTACCGTACTCTTGATGGTACGGGACAGGTACGGGATAGCGCCAGGCATGTCGTTGGCACAAACAAACAAAAATATTGTGGCCAGCTGTCTTTGCTGGTACGGTACAGTACGGGGCAGATACGGGATAGCGCCAGGCGTGACACAAACAAACAAACACACAAACAAACACCAAATTAAAGCTGTGTGGACCCTGGCTAGCGCCAGACGTTCATGAAGTAACGTCTTCTGCATAGCTACGGGAATAAGTAAGTTGTGCCGCTAACTCGGCGAACATCTGGCGACAGCCGACCATTGGTTTCCGCGGCGAAGCGCTGGAACACCCCGCCACAGGAGCTCACGTCCACTCGTCGTCCAAACTCGTAGATGGCTGAAAGTGTTTTTCTATGGTTAATATAGCCGAATACCGTATTTTACCGGTTGTAAGTCGACCCCGGTTATAGGTCGACCCCCGTATCCGGAGGTCTCATTTCCGCGTTTTAAAGTTTTCACCCAACGAAGCACTACCAACCACTCCCTGCTACTAACACCTCAACAAATAATGTAAACATTCCTTATTGGAGGGTATAACGTCCCAATCCTTGAAAACGGCCAATAAACTGGCAAACATGAGTACACATGGTGCACTCATGCATGCAGGGCAGGTCATTTTGTGAAAGATTCTGATAGTTCCCGATTATAAGTCGAATCCTGGTTGTAAGTCGACCCCAACCCTTTCTCCTTCTATTTTTAGTCGTAAAAGGTCGACTTACAACCGGAAAAATACGGTAGTACCTCCCTGTGGTATCGGTCCTCATTTTCCCAATTCTCTCTGATTGTTAATTCTGTTCGAACTTGGCTTGTAATTACCGGATCCATGTACATGTATATTTCCTATTGACTACTTTCTCATTTTCTCGAGTACAGAGCCACATTTTTTTTATTCTATCGCCATCATCATATTTGGCATCAATGTCCGTTCGGTTTGCGCTGTAAAATAGAACTTCAAACTCACAACCAACACTGGCAGTTTGCTGTAGAACGTCAGTACCGCTGGTCAGTGTCGTGCAATGTTATCGCACGAGCTGATTGTTTAGTAACTGGTGATGTCAGTGGCCATTATACATGTTAAACTCCTAGTTCCTTGGTCTTTGCCATAACGATTAAACTTGAAAACACGGAAAACAGTTGGGCGGAAGTTATGTGTTTGAGTCCGGCAACTAGACCCGATCCTGAACAGTCAGACTCGTGCACAATTTAGCACCAAACTGACCAGGAGTACTGAGACAATCTACGGCATTAAAGTCAGCTTGAGTTCTGCTCGATAGCGCTAACCAACGGCCTTCCAAGTTTCAACTAACTAAAACTTGACAGGTTCATGGATAATAGACTTATAGTGCCAACTCCAAAGATGAACTGGGATGGAGAGCCAAGGAAAATGTTATTGCAAAGAAAAGGACCAAGGAGTATCGTATGAGCTGATTGTCAAGTAATAGGCGGTGTTAGTGGACAACACAGCGCAACTTGTAGTCCTTGGTCCTTTTCTTTGCAATAAAAAATTCCAAAGAGTCCGACTGTTCAAAATCTCGTCTATTGATGGACTCTAACGCGTATACAGTTTTGCGCCACTGTTTTCCATGTTTTCCATGTTTTCCATATTTTCATTAAATTAATGTGATTTTTACCTTGGCTCACCAACTAAGTTCTCATCGCACCCATGACGATTGTGATTATTATTATAATATTAAATTTTAATAATTATAACGATTGTAATAAATCCGCATTGATGCAGAGACTGAAAGTAGGTCTACAAACTATTGTGAGCTATATACCTGACGAGGAGATTCCATCCTGAAAATGATATCAAATTCGAAGAGAACAGAAAAGCCTGAGAAGAGAGCAAAGGAATACTCTGGGCATAGTTTCAGTGGGACACACATTGGTAGCGGCAGATCAGAAGGGGCATTCACACCGGAGAAAATGTGCTTGCCTGTGGGGTAGGCGTGTATGAATGTGCATGCACCCGTACGCGCGGGTACACATGTATGGGGGTGTGCGTGATGGGATGCGTGTGTTTGCATAGTTACGTTTGCACGTGGATGTGCGTTCGGGTGTACGTGGGTGTTTGTGCGTGTGCGTGCGTATATGTGTGCGTGTGCGTGCGTATGCGTGGGTGCATTAACCTGCCCTCAGCATGTGGCACATACGTGTGTACTTTGGACTAAATTCAATGAGTGTTCACCGCCACCTGTTCTGCCGGGGCGGCGGCGGCGCTTGATCGACATCCTGGCCTTGCCAGACCTCCGCAGCCTTGCTCTATGCCATGGTGGGTGCTAGCTGTGCCATGTCCACCTGGATGTTCTTTAGCACCTTGGTCAGGTGAAAGAAAGCGTAGATCTCTCGCTTCAGGCACTGCGATGACGTCAGACTTGGCTTCGTTGACTTGACGAGACGGCAGGGATTGGTCGCCGGATCGAAGCCTGGACTCTCGATGACCGGACGCATGGATTCGCGAACCTCGAGCACAGACGGCTGGCAAGTAGGTAGCATCCGAGTACGTTTACATGAGCTCAGTGCAAGGCTGCGGAACATCGAGCGGTTCGGGATCAATTTGGCGAATCCCAAGACGGCCGCCTTGGAGCTGCGAATGACCTTATTCAGCAGATCATATCTCTTCGTGGAGCGCACCTTACGGCACGCCGTGCGCAGCTCAAGGAGAGTACAGATGTGCATCTTCAGCTTGGCTGCGTCCGACGCGATGTGAGTTGCTTTCGGGCATTGTTGCACCTCAGTTGATCTGCGACGACGCTTCTTGCCAAGGGCCTTTATTCCCTTGTACGCGTGACCCAACGCACCGGAGCCGGTAGTAGCCTCAAGGCACGAGCTGCCCGCGCTGGCAAGACCCACGGCTGCGTTCGTAGTCTTGCCCTCCTTGTAATCGTGGGCCGCTTGATAGGTGTTAAGTCCGCAGCTAACGCCTGCTATGACTCTTGTACCTACGCAGCATCCCGCGGCAAAGGGTGCGATCGGCGGAATTGGAGTGGCCGCGCAGCATCCAATACCCACTATACCGCTGACAGTACTCACAACGCTTGAGGCAATACGGAATGGCTTACTGCGGACAACCTTATGGACACCTTCGGCAATACGGCGGAAAAAGCTACGTCTTCTCCGGGAGGATCGGCGGCGGCGGCGGCGGCCCCAAAAAGCCGAAGTCTCGTTCGGTACCAGCATCAGTTCAATGATGAGCAGGGTCACCAGGGCGAATGTGATCCATTGAAACCACTTCATGGTGACGTAATGTTGTTGGTCGCGGTCTGCCGATCACGTGACTGTGTCAGGCTAGAGGATAGCGTGCTGACTGCGTCCTAGCGGGAGTTGTGCAACCTGAGCATGAACGTACAGGTACGCGTAAACACACACGCACACACATACACACACACAGCCACCCACGTGTTTATCATAGCAATGCGGTGCGCGTACAGTCTAGTCGAGTCGTGCATCACGGTCTTGTAGTCAAGTGGCAAGCAGTCATAGTTTGCGAGCAGGTTTGAGTGTCGGACCAATACTCGTACCAGTACTTTGCCCCACAAAGTTACAACCCATCTCCAACGATCAGACGAAACCGCATACAGGTGAACACTATTCCAGCATCGCATCCATTCTCAGGGGTGTCGCACACGGTACGGTCACCACGCTATTGACCATACCACTATTTGCCCCAAGTACCCCGTGAAGCATTTTTATAAAATGCACTGATTTGGGCTCCAAATTTCCAAACTTTTCGGCCCAGCCACCCCCCCCCCCCCCAGCAGTAAAATTGTACAGTTCAGATGGCTGACCGTACCACACTAAAATACCTTCCGACTCCTCTGTTTCTACACATTGCGTATGCCGCCAATTGTCAAAAATAATAATAATTTTTTTTTTAAATATTAGCGGCGTGCATGAACACACAGTCCTGTGACATCATCATAAGACCGTCTGTATGTAGTATTGAAACACTGCATGACGAAAGGAAAGCTAGGGGGCGGCCCCCATCACCAATATCCGACCAGTGAGACAGGCCACCAAATCCCGCACATTCATACAAGCTAGTTACTACAGAATTCTTCATTGCGTCGTTCCACGCCTGTGTACATGTACGCCAAACCAATTGGGATTTCCAAGTGTAGGAAGCGAAGGAAAACACAACCTCAAAAGTCCCTTGGCTTTGGGAGGGGGCGGTATTCTCGGTCACTCTTTGGAACGGATACGGTATTAGGAAACGAAATCTGACTGCGTGAATTCGCGACCTAACATCCTCCGCCAGGACCGGTAATCTACCATAGCTCAGTACATGACACGTACAGTAAAACCTGACAAGGCGACCACTCGGATAAGGCGACCACCTGTGAAGACCACTGGAACCAGGATCAAGGGATGCTACTTCCAGTTAATTGACCCTGGATGAGGAGCCCACCTGGTAACAGAGACCACATTTTGAAGATCCCTTGAGCGGTGGTCGTCTTAGACAAGTCTCACTGTATTCCCAGGTGGACCTGGGGCTGCATACAGCGCCCACCTGGGGTTATGTCAGTTGGCTCTGGCGATGGGATTTCTCCGGGCAGCGGTGTAGGTAAGGATAGATTTCAGTGAACGCTAGACTCCAGACCTCTACTCTAAGTCCTATTATTGTTGTCATGTGCAAGCGCACAGAGTCTCCGCGGGGAATCCCCTCAGTCACAACCTTCTACTCTCGACTGCATCGAAGTCCGAAGCGGGTGACCGGTGGCATGTTGCTTTGAGCCAACGTTCAAAAACTGGACAGTTTTGTGACATGCTGCAGGACACACAGCTTGTGCTCAGTGCAACGGTAGATAGCCTATAGCCTACCTAGTTAGCCACTGTGTGGCGTGGATGGTGCGCTGCTGCCAACCCTGTCGAACAGCAGAGGGCATACTACTAGCCGGGTGAACGTCAACTCCATCAAACAGGGCTTATGGCCAGATGGGAAACGACAGGAATACAAGGTGGAACTAGATTACTTGGCCAGGGAAAAACTCTGTCGTACCTGAGCTCATCTTTACGGATAGGAACAAGTTTGAAATGTCCACACAACTCTCCAGGATACTGGCTAGTACCCTTACTTCGAACTTCAACTTTCCTTGCTTCCATTTCGAATTATCCGGAATGCAAAATACCAACCAATGTACTGACAAGTATTGGCAAGTAGATTCGACGCAGCAAGGACCAAACGCCGTACCTGTAATTTACGTTCGCACAGGCCAAGGCTAGAACTTACGCAGAAGGAGAACTACCCAACGTGACCTACGGTTAGAGTGTAGTTGCCCAGCGAGCAGCCCCCCCCCCCCCTCCCTCTTCAGCGGAAGCATGAGAGCAAAACACAGAGATCTAGAGTGCTATACAACTTACCTGAGGTTGGAGCAGGAAAAGTCGAACTGCACTTGCCGGTAGCAGTGGGAGAAAGCAAGCAACTAAAGGGAAACGCCAAGCCTCTTCTTTCTAGCGAGCAGGACTGGCTGCCCCTGCGCTGTCTACGCTGCAAATTTCACCCCGCTGCTCTCCACCAGGCACTTGATCAATGCCCTCCACAGCCGTTCGCTGCTTCACCTAGCTGGCTGGGCCTGCACGCTGCCTGCCCTGAGATCGAGAGACGGGTGCCGGAGACTCTGGCTTGCAGTGAAGTCCCAGGCGGAGACGGGCGAGGACTAGTGACATGTGAACCATGCAGCGGCTCCAGACCGGCTCCTTCTTTGCTATGTGGAGGAGTGAGGACTTGGGCCACGTTTGGGGGGCGGACCTCGAGAGGAGGTATAGAGATCGTGCGTTCAAACATTTGAACCAGAACTACTTGACATGTAGCCTGTGTAACGACATCGTGCTCTCTAGCTCTGGGTTTTGTTTACGAGAGACATGTGATGTCCATATGAGAACCACATGGTTTTCTGTATGATCACGTCCGTACCCTAAAGCCTCTTTAGGAAAGGCCTGAGCGTGTCAGGTGACAATGGTCTGGCGACGATAGCGACCACAGTCTACAGAAGTAGTCTGTGTTTGCATTCACAACCGTCAGGCGTCAAGGCACGAGGAGTAGTGCACTGTTGTTGCAAATGGGCGTCCAGTGCTGCTGCAACTGCTTTGCACGAGTCGATGCACACTCTTACGATAATTTTATGACTTCTCGTCACAATGATGCAGCGGCGAACGTGGCCCCGTGTGTCCCCGCCCCGCCCATCGTGTAGATCGTATCCCACAGATTCATAGCTGATGTCCAGGCATCGTCCCGGACCGTGATCAGCTGAGTATCCTATTTTCTGAGTGAGGCTTGACTTCACTGAAATCGCTGAGAAGAGTCACTTCGACTTGGCAGTGCCGGCTCATTTTTGGAGAGGTCTCGCAGAAGTCAGTTTGCACGCCGAATACTTTGCCTCACTCCCTCCAGCAAGAATGAAGTGGCACCTACTAGCACTGACGGCCATTGCACTGGTGTCGTGTGCATCGGCTACATCAAACTACGACGACGATGGTGAAGAGCAAATCGGCGAGCACGAGTACGACCAGATGTTCAGCGACGCGACCAACTTCGACTTCGAGGAAGGCTCAGAGCACCAGCTGACTGCCGACGAGCAGAAAGAGGAGGACGAGGAGGTGGAGAATTACATCGCAATGCACGCAGACGACCAGCAAGACTCGGCTGATCAGGAGAGAACGCGAAGCGACAGCGACTTCGATCTCAATCTGGAGGACGCGGATGCCGACGAGGATGATCGTGGCCGTGACGCTGCCGCGGCGGATGAGAAGGATATGCAGTTTAGCGACGAGGAAGTGGAGAAGGCGATCCAGAGCCTTGGGTTCGACGATTAGACCTAGGCAAAAGCAGTGTGGCTGAACACCAAGAGTGAACACAAGTCTAGCCGTTCACCACCATTGCGGCGCTGCATACTGGTAACAATCAGACATTGGTATCAACTGAATGTTGGACGACAATTTAATAGGACTACGTACATGTATGGCAGTATTAGCGTATTGCTCATTTTATTTCTTTGATTTCCAAAAGTGAAGATTAGTGCTCCTAACTTGTTAGCAGAAGGCACTTTCTTTCAGCTAATGTATGTCAATTTTACTTCGTTATGATACAGCGTGTGTGCGTGTGTGTAGTGTAGACAGTGTACTGTAGTGTAGCAGAGGATTGCTTGTGTGATACGAGTTGGAGGTGCAGTGAAAAGCTGGTACATGTACAGTACTGGTACCGTATTTTCCGGAGTATAGTGCAAACTTTAGATTGTATTCTTTTAGGCCCTAAATCGCAGGTGCGCACAATGCTCCGAGTATGAAATGCATGTACTTCAATGAAGATTGAAGTGCGCACCCCCAATGATTTCGTAGTGTTACAATCCTGTGTTGGGTCTTTGTGATGTGACTCATTATTGTGAGCGCACCGCTCAGGGGTCGGATTTCAGTTGCCAGCATTATAACTGATATCGTTATTGCCATAAGCATGGGTTTGCGCTGCAGTCAAAATATCCTAAACTGGCTGCTACCAGGCGTGAAGAAAAGCCAAAAATGAGCACACGGGTTATCAATATGTCTTGTGCGTCCACCGATAAGTTATGGTTGTGCATTTTCTTCGTGGAAGTTTAGCGCATGGGCGATACCTCCATCAGGCTATTGCCTCACACAGACGTCACATACCCTCCCATCACACACACTGTGCAAGTATTTAGTGCACGTACAGTGTGCGATGTACGTGGAGGATTCGGTCCATTGAATCTGAGACTCTAGTCTAGCGAGCATGTTTGCAGACCAGAGAGAACGAGCGGCGATGCTTTTGTCCGAATCAGGGCTAGCGAGTTCGCAACCCTGCTCTGTTCTATTTGCCCTAAGCATTGCGAACTGGAACCTACAGCTGACGTCAAGTAGTTCAGATGCGAATCCAAACGGATTCTTGTCCAGTCCTTTCGGCGTGCCTCACTCTGTGCACTTGTTTGGACCTGTGAAAAAAGGTTGAGTGATGTCCTGAGCTCCTGGAGTCCTGCTGTCAACTACATGTACACTACTAACGTAGGTAAGTCAGGACCAGCCTGTGCTGGTCTTCCTCGGGCGCTGTCAGACAACGGCACACAGCTTGGCAGGTGATGCCTGTCATACTGACTTCAACTCGTACTCACTCTCCTCGTGACGAGCGGGCCAAGCGCAGCGCTGGGAACCCTGCCAGAAGATCACGTTTTCAAATTTTCAAACGTGGAGATTGATGACAGGTGCTGGGAAGTGCAGTCGGGGGGTGGAGCCCATTGCATTCTGCAACAATAGGCCTAAATGTTTTGGGAAATGCGTTATCGCCGCTGGCTACCGGAGCGCACGTATGCTGCCTGATCTCCAAGCCGAGTCCACCTGTTGACAATCACACACCATGCCCTGAAGCTGTCTATATCCAGTCAGCGTAAACAGGAATGAATAGACCATCTTGGCCTGAGGATGCCTGGGGTTTGTTGATTATAATGATGCCGTCCCTTGGCAGATGGCATTTCTTGGCACACCTCTTTCAATAGCTGAATGCAGTGTGCGTCTGGTGTATGCGGAGGGGAGCAAGATGGCCAGGCCAGTCCTTTCCTCACTTGACACCTGCACTCGCCTGGGACACATGCTCTCTCTCTCTCTCTCTCTCTCTCTCTCTCTCTCTCTCTCTCTCTCTCTCTCTCTCTCTCTCTCTCTCTCTCTCTCTCTCTCTCTCTCTCTCTCTCTCTCTCTCTCTCTCTCTCTCTCTCTCTCTCTCTCTCTCTCTCTCTCTCTCTCTCTCTCTCTCTCTCTCTCTCTCTCTTCTCTCTCTCTCTCTCTCTCTCTCTCTCTCTCTCTCTCTCTCTCTCTCTCTCTCTCTCTCTCTCTCTCTCTCTCTCTCTCTCTCTCTCTCTCTCTCTCTCTCTCTCTCTCTCTCTCTCTCTCTCTCTCTCTCTCTCTCCTCTCTCTCTCTCTCTCTCTCTCTCTCTCTCTCTCTCTCTCTCTCTCTCTCTCTCTCTCTCTCTCTCTCTCTCTCTCTCTCTCTCTCTCTCTCTCTCTCTCTCTCTCTCTCTCTCTCTCTCTCTCTCTCTCTCTCTCTCTCTCTCTCTCTCTCTCTCTCTCTCTCTCTCTCTCTCTCTCTCTCTCTCTCTCTCTCTCTCTCTCTCTCTCTCTCTCTCTCTCTCTCTCTCTCTCTCTCTCTCTCTCTCTCTCTCTCTCTCTCTCTCTCTCTCTCTCTCTCTCTCTCCTCTCTCTCTCTCTCTCTCTCTCTCTCTCTCTCTCTCTCTCTCTCTCTCTCTCTCTCTCTCTCTCTCTCTCTCTCTCTCCTACTTCTATTCATCTAAGAAATCAGCAAAAGGGCAATGAATCACCCAAGGTCCTCTGTTCTTCTGCATGTATAAGGTTTGTCTCACGGTCTTGTCCATACTCCATCATGGCCGTCATGACGGTCTGATCAATACAAGTACATGTTGATGAATCTCTTTGGTACAATACCCACTTACTACGGTGACTATGCAACAGTCAACACGGATGGTAGACTCTAGAGCGGGAACATGTAATGCGGAATGGAATAGTTCCATGACAGGCTTTAGTCTAATGACAATGGTCCCGCTGAAATGCGTTTTCTCTTGATACATATCTGCACTGTACAGAACAGAACAACAAGGACAATCAAGGCTTGTTTGCTGCGACTTGAAGTTTCATGCTCACGCAATCAGTGCCAATCACCAGGCAACAACGCAACGCAACTGTTGCCTGATGATTGCGAGAGCATGAAACTTCAAGTCGGAGCAAATAATTGCAAGCCTTGATTGTCCTTGTTGTTCTGTTCTGTATTACGCTCTGCCTCCGCCACGGTGTTGAGCACTGTCAGCACACTGGGTACACCCTCCGGTATCTGTACTGTACATGTAGATACGAGTAGTACAGTACTGGCAACTGAAATCCGATCCCCGAGCGGTGCGCTCACATCGCAACGACCCAACACGGGATGGTAAATCTACAAAACAGAGACGCGCGAGACGCACCGCTAAGGGGGTCGGATTTCAGTTGCCATCACTGTAGTACATGTACTACAGTCAACTTCGCTAATAACGACTGCGGATATAACGACAATTCGCGAATAACGACATAATGTTCATGCCCAGGGCATAGTCCCATCCAACTGTGACCATGGTGACACATATAATGAGACTTCGGATATAACGACACTTCGCGAATAACGACACTTTTCTGATGCCCCGCCGAGTGTCGTTATAAGCGGAGTTGACTGTAGTAGTAGTATTTATAATTTTACTTGGGTATACCCAACAAGTCTATGGCCTTCTACAGGGTGCCCAAGGAGAACTTGTGAGCAGCTAGCGCGAAAAGCAGGCAAGACATGTTGGGATCGTATAATAGCGGGTAGTGCATTAAAGCGGTCAGCACCAAGAAATGAGAGACTGTAGAGGCCTGGCCGGGACATGAATGGGGGGAGAAAGAGACTACTGAATGTTTGGCCTCTGGTTTGGGAGGTAGTGTGGGTAGCATCATTTCGGGTCGTGACGATTTGGAGATGAGGGGACTGCCAAGGGACCTGACCACTGAAAAGTAAAAATGAATAGCTTTTAAAGAGTGAGGCGTAGGCTGAGTGGGTGGAGGTTGTGACAACGCAAAATGGGCTCAACGTCAGCACGGGAAGGGTAGGCAAATACAATACGAGCGGCTCGGCGGCTCAGTCCTAAAAGCTTATCGTATTCTGCAGCGTGTAATGAATGAACATAATAATTATGATTTGCTGGCGTACTCTAATTTACTCTGTTAGTCTCTGTAAAACAGCGAGATAGAAAGCTCGGTGAGCCTTACTGTCCAGGTTGTCTCTGTCTCGCCTAAAAGCACCTAGATTCTTATTAATGTCATCACGGAGTGGGAGATATGGGGTCGGAAGGTCGGGGAGTCCCGAGCACCTTTCCATCCATGTAACTAGGGTAGATGACAATACGGTCAGAAAGTGCGACAGTTACTTTTTTCTTTTTTTTTCTTTTTTTTCTACAAAATCCACATATCTCCAGACACTGACTTATCGGCAGAAAACTGAAACATTCAACGACCTGACACTTATATATGACTGTATGTATGCACATGTTGTTGGTTGATGTAACAAAGTGGAGGACACCGTGTTCGGAAACAGTGTACTTCTACAACCATCCACGGTTGGTAGAGCCCGGGTCGATTGCGATCATCTGAACCGTATGGGTGTTGGAATCGGTTCTGACCCTCTCTGTTCTAGGGGAGTTGTCTTAGACTTCTCGTTCCGTCAGTCTTGTATTGAGGAGCGTAAAATTATGCACACATGATGCCGGTAATTGTGCTACATTACGCTGGAATTATGCCAATTATGGTGCTATAATATTGTACCCTTGCACTCTTGTTGCACTTTGCAACGTTCCAACGAATTTTTAGACACAATCCGAAGATTATACTGTACCAGCATAATCCGCCAAAGGCTAGTCGATGTCCATCAATGGCAATGTTGCCAGAGCCAGCACAGCTGCACAGGTCATCGTCCTGCCTGGTACATTCATGATGTACTCGTGCCCGGACGTACATGTACGTGTATAATGGTCTAGTGCACGCACCTCAATACAGAGCTTGAATACGTCGCTACTCGCTAGCACTCACTGTGTAATACGGCCGGCGATGTCTTGCTCGTTCTGAGAGTTCCCAGTACATACATGTACATGTACTGGCACATCAAATAATTTACCATGATCTACCATGTACAATCCACCCTGCCAATCAAACCGCGCCCAGATCTAAGCGTAAGCGGCTTAGAGCTGGTGTGGGTTGACGTACAGATACATCGACAGCATCACCGTGTCGGCTGCGCCTACAGGCCCCCTGACACATCCGTGGAGTTTTGGACTGATTTAGAAAGTGCCATGCATAGTGCTGGCTCTTCAGCCACGTCTTTAACTTTGTTGGGGATTTCAATGTGGACTTGTCCGCTAATCACCCCAATCATCAGCGAACCCATCTACAGAGCCTGTGCTGCACCTTCGACCTAACCAACTGCGTGGATGCAGTGACGCGCATCACTCCAAGTACGCCGAAAGGCACCCTTATTGACCTTGTCCTCACGGACAGGAAGATGGTATCCAGCTGCAGGGTGATACCTTGTCTGATCAGTGATCACAGCGCTGTGCTCGCCAACCTGAACATTTCAGTTCCTCGTGCAGAGACTCAATCGAAGCAGGCCAGGCGGATTCGGAATATAAGTATCCCTGAGTTCAGAATCGCTCTGGAGCAAGAACTTCAGCATTTCCCTTCCCTTCCACAGTCGTCAAGCGTGGATGATACGTGGCATGATTGGCACTCGCGCTTTATGACTGTCCTGGACAGGTATGCTCCAATGAAGACTGTACCACCGCGCCGCAAGCCTCTACCTCCATGGTCCGACCGTGAGACGTATCAACTCATCAGGACACGGAATAGGCTGCACACGCGCTGGCTCCGGAACCCCGAAGATATGGCACTTCACAGTGCATTCAAACTGGCTCGGACGCAGGCATCTAACGCGATTCGGCGCAAACGAAACTCGTATTTTCATCAGACATGTCAATCTGCATCTGCAAACCCTCGTAAGCTCTGGCAGCTCATCAACAGCCTTACAGGCCGTACCCGAGCACAACCGGATCCTACATGCGACGTTGAAGAGGTCGGCAATACGTTCCATCAAGTTGTGACCGATGCCAATAGACCTCCCATATTGGCAGAACCTCAGGGGCCATTGAGAGGGGAAGTCCTTTCGGATTTTCGAGGGACTGATGCAGGTTCCGTTTACGAACTGCTCCGTAAAGTCGACGCCAGAAAAGCAACCGGTAGTGACGGGGTCCCAGGATCGTTGCTGCTCGCCACTGCCGACATCATCGCACCAAGCCTCACCCAACTTTTCAACATGTCCCTGAAATCGGGTATCGTTCCTCGGGCCTTCAAGCTAGCAGAGGTTCGCCCCCTCTTCAAATCGGGAGATCCTGCTTCCCCTGGGAATTATAGACCAGTATCTCTACTACCCATTATTTCGAAAATCCTCGAGCGGATTGTACAAAACCAGTTACAAGGTCAGCTTTCCCGTGTTCATGCGCTGCCTGACACGCAGTTTGCGTACCGGCATGGCTACTCAACAGAAGATGCATTGGTTGTCCTGACGGACACGCTCCTGGAGGCCCGCGATCGACGCCAGGTATCGGGAGTGTGCTTTCACGATCTCTCCAAGGCATTTGACAAAGTCAGTCATGAGCGTCTCATTCAGGACCTGTTTGCTTTAGGAGTGACAGGCAGACCCCTTCGCTGGCTCATCAGCTACCTCAGTGAGCGGACACAGCGAGTTTGTTACGGGGCCAGCAGCAGCACAATCACCTCTTGCAGCTGCGGTGTGCCCCAGGGATCGGTGCTCGGCCCGTTGCTCTTTAACGTGTACACAAGAGATGTTCCTCAAGTAGCCCAATCCGCAGCCACGATCCAGTTCGCCGATGACGTCGCAGTATATTGTAGCGCTGACACGACTCAGGCTGTTGCCAGTACGCTCTCCACCGCAGTCTCCTCCTTGGCTGCATGGCTGGAAGAGCGAGGACTGATTCTGAATGAGAAGAAGAGTCAAGTTCTCACAGTCTTTCCTGGTAGAGACGCTGGACCCCGGGTCACAGTCTTCTGTCGCAGCCAAGCTCTGCCGACAGTCACCAGCGCGAAGTACCTTGGCGTCATCATTGACGAGGGGCTGAACTTTCAGCAACACCTGAAAGCCATTACAGCAAAGGTGTCCCGCAAAGTAGGTGCCCTCTGGCGGACTCGGAGATGCTTGAGCCTGGCGGCCCGAGTCACCTACTTGAAGTCCGTGGTGATGCCGGATCTGGCCTACGCATCAAGTTGTTTCGTGTTCTGTCTAACTGCCCAGCAAGCAACGGATCTCCAGACGCTGGAGAACAAAGCGGTTCGCGCAGTTTTTGGCGCTCGGCCATACGACTCTGCTCAACCTCTGCTCCAACGGGTGGAACTCTACCGAATCTCAGAGCTGCACAAGCAAAAGGCGCTAATGCTCACCTGGCGATGCATCCACGGCATTGCGGGGAACCGGCTCTGTGGACTGATTTCAAGGTCACCAGATCGGCGTACCCGCTTGCAGAAGGACATCGGAGCGCGCATACCACCCGCCGCAAGCCGCGCTGGTCAGGCTAGGTTCTCTGTTGCCGCTCCCAAGCTGTGTAACGCACTACCCAGCGACATCCGCACCATCCCCCAACGCAGTGTGTTCAAAATGTCAGTCATCCCACATACGCTCGCTCCATGAAACGTATCACCCATTATTCCAGTCACTGTTGCTGTCGCATCCACTCGCAGTCCACGTCCACTGATGTCGACCGAGGTAGCTCTCTTGCTACTGTGAAATAGTGACATGTACCCAGCTAATGTCTCTGCTTCGTTCAGGGAATTCAGAATAGGAAGTCTGCTGTACCACCCGCTCTTCTCTTTTTACTTTTAAAAGCGATTATTTGTAACATGGAAATTTGTTCCTTGGCTCACCATCTGAGTTCGTAAAGCTATTATTCATTTTCTGCTGCCCCCGGTTATTTCTTTTATTAGTATTATTTTCTTTGCCTTCGCTTTCTTGTTATTGGGCAACTTGCCCGTTAGAATCTGCGAAGTAAAATAAACAACAACAACAACAACCATGATTATACAGTATTCAGTATATCAATCAGCAGAACCAGCGAAGCGGACATTGGACATAGTAATCAACAAGAAAAATATGGATAATACAATATCCTGAACAAGTTTTCTAGAGACATTCAGCAGGGAAACTTTTTTTATTATCCATAATTTTTCTTGTTGATTACTATGTCCAATGTCCGCTTCGCTGATTCTGCTTATTGCTATACTGAAGTTATTGTTTCCGCGCCGCCTATTCATATACAGTATATCTCAACGAAATCCAATAGCATCACTCAAGTATGCGCCGGGCGTTGCTCAGCCCTAGACAAGCGAACACCAGGCTGCGAAATGATGCAGACTGTCTGTATCTACTGCCTGGTTCACACTACAGGCCGTAGCACTACGGGC